AGTTTACTCAGATTGCTGCTCACATTTGTAAGACCCAAGTCATGCTCTTGGACTGATTTAGATGGGGCCTCCTAGCAGACATGACTACAATATGTCTCTAAACTGTACTGGGGAACATTGGGAAGAGGTTCCTGGTGCTTTCTTCCTAGCAGGAGCTCAACATGTTTGGCATGAGAACCAAGTCTAGGAAAAGGAAAGGACTCGAAGAAAATGGACCAGGGCAGAGGGAAGCATGAGGGGAGTGCCTCTTCTTGGCTTCCCAACTTCTAAAGAGGAAATAACAGATAGGCTCAGAAGTGTCCTCTTGTCTGCGTGTCAAAAAGACTCAGCCTGTGCAGCCAAGCAGTAAGAGGGCCCATGTGGAGAGCGTGTTTCATGGAGGGAGTGGTTGATAGGGTGAAACCCTGTGTGGAGTTCAAGACCAGCTGAGGACTGAAAGGTATTCATTTAATTTGGCAACTAGAGGGTCACTGATGACTTTGATGAATGACTCCAGGGCGTTAAAGAATAACGAAGAAGAAGAATCAGGGCCCGGCACCATAGCCTAGGAGCTAAAGTCCTCAGCTTGAATGTGCCAGGATCCCATATGGGTGCCGGTTCTAATCCCGGCAGCTCCACTTCCCACCCATCTCCCTGCTTGTGACCTGGGAAAGCAGTCACGGATTGCCCAAAGCCTTGGGACCCTGCACCTGTGTGGGAGACCTGGAAGAAGTTCTTGGATCCTGGCTTCAGATTGGCTCAGCACCGGCCATTGTGCTCACTTGGGGAGTGAATCATTGGACAGAAGATCTTCCTCTCTGTCTCTCCTCCTCTCTGAATGTATATATCTGACTTTCTGATTAAAATAAAACAAATCTTTAAAAAAAAGAGTTACGAAGAAGAATCAGTGGAAATGTTTTTTAAAAGAACTTGGTTAACAAGGAAAAAGGTATAGGGGGCAGCAGACTCCAAAATTTTTCTTTAATCTTGGGGCTAACTGCGTGTTTGCAGACTCTTTGGAGGTAACCCCAACATAGAGGGAGGTTGTTGACCCCAGGAACCAGGAGGAGTGGGACAAATGAGGCAGCAAAGTTTAGAAGACATACAGAGGGATTCAAGAAACAGACAACTAAGAGGGAGAACGAGGAGATGGGATGAGGAGGGACACATGGGAGGGAAGAGAAGCAGGGAGCAAGGAAGTCCCAGCTTTGGGAACTCTAATCTATAAAGCAGGCAAGATCAGTCATTTGCTGAGAGCGGAATGGGTAGGAAAGAAGAACAGCAATTAAAGAACATCGAGTCAACACTGAACGCCCAAACAAGGCTACCAGTTATGAACCTGTCATGATCAGCAGCCCAAAAGAGGAAGCAGGAAAAAGGGTGATGTGGGGAGTGCAGACAAAGTGGGGGACAGAGGGGGATGGGAAGGTTCCAGATTCAATAAAAATGTCAGGAGGTGATTGGTCATGGGCTCAGGCTGGAAAAAGGAGGAAGTCTAGGAGAGGGCTAAAAGACTGGAGAAGGGAGAGGTCACAGGAATGGCATGAAGGAGCAGGGCAATGGCAGCAGCAGCGAGGGAGGGAGCAGGAGAAGAGGAAGAGCATGTGTTGCTTGGAGAGCAAAGCCTTGGGCCTGGAGCCCACATGAGAAGACTGCAGCCAGCAACATGGAGTGAGAGGAGCAGAGCCCAGGGACACACAGGAAGGGCCTGGGGCTTCAGAGCCAGGCAAAGACCTGCTACCCGGAATGCCCACCAGGGTTGCTGGCAGGGAGTGCTATGGCACACAGCCCATGTACAGAGGCGGGACCAGAGGCTGGCAGGATGTGTAATCACTGATTGCTAGAAGACAGGCAGGGTAGAACCAACCATATGCTGTGGAAGAATGCTCCCCAAGTTCACCCTGTATACATCTTCATGCTAAAATCCCCTTTGTATCAACAGAAGCTACTCTACTGGTCTATTTCTCAGCATATCAAAGAAGCCAACTGCTTTCCCAGGACTTCATGCTATACCTGAAGAATACAGAATTCACTGTATTTCTATTGCAGAACTTTTATCAAAAACTAAAGGACTTGATTGATTCAAAATGGGGCCATTCTGCAAACTAGTCAAAAGCAGGATCTGCTCAAATACTAGCAAAGAGCCACTAGAGGCCATCAGTTGACCAATAGGATTTTTAATTGCTAAAAATTCATGTTCTGTTTTCTGCATGCAAAAATAAAATAAAACCCTGACCCACACCATCAGTGCTAGGTATACAGAAAAATGCAGGGAGAAGGCAGTGCCACAGGATAATCACTGTTGGAACAATGTGGTAGCTAGGGCTCAGACCACCCTTCCCAGCATGGGAGCCTCTCAGCATGCAAGGTCCCTATGATGGAGGAGGGATATATGGTTCTACCACACTACTAAGACCCCTGGCTCAGCAGGCTGATCCTTGAGCTCAGCATGCAACATCGCTTCCACCCCCAGCTGGGAAAGTGGCTAACAGTTGGGAAGACAAGATTTGAACCAGGCATTTCTGCTTCATATTTGTGATCTCTAGTTGACCCTGTAGAAGAATCTCCACCAAACATGATGAAGCTCTTTAAGGGTGAAGGGAATATGGGCCACACAAGGAAAGACGACTCAGGCAGGAACTGGTGAGAGAGGAATCCTTGTCAAGCCAATCAGAGGAAAAAATATTTTTAAAAAATTAAAGAAATGGCCAGAGCACAAACTACAAAGTCAGTGTATGACAAAGAACAGAGGCCTATACCCAAAGGTTGCCTGACCAAGTAGTACACAGAAGACGTAGTAACTCCAAACTAGAAATCAGGCTTATGGAAGCTCATGCACTTACAAGAGCTCCATGTATGCTGCTAAGCGAACAACAACTCAATGAGCACAGTTTGCTTTGAAATGAGGATGATCTCTCAGTCTAGGCAGAGAAGAAAATGAGCAGGTACCGTCAATTCACAAGGAGATGGAAAAATGTGTTCTGAGTAAGACAGAATTACTTAGGTCTGGCATTGTGGTATAAGATAAAGCTGCTGCCTGAAATGCCAGCATCCTATATGGGCACCGGTTTGTGTCCCGGTTGCTCTATTCCAACCCAGCTCCCTACTAACAGCCTGGGGAAATAAAGCTGCAGAGGATAGACCAAGTGTTTTGTCCCTGTCACCCATGTGGGAAACCTGGAAGAAGCTCCCAGATCTCTGGCCTGGCCCAGGTTTTGCAACTATCTTTCTTCATAACCCTTACTTCAAAATACGTTAAAAACAAACAAACAAAAAACTGCTCATGGTGGCCAACATGTGTTGCAGCAGGTAAAGACACCACCTGCAACGTTGGCATCCCATCTGGGCACCAGCTGAAGTTCCAGCTGGTCTACTTCTGATCCAGCTCCCTGCTAATGCACCTCGGCAGGTAGCAGAAGTAGCAGAAGATGGCCCAAGTGCTTGGGCCCCTACCCCTGTGCTCTGATGAAGGCCCAGGTTCCTGCCTTCATCCTGGCCTAGCCCTGGATATTGTATCCATTTAGCAAGTAAATCAGTGAATGAAAGATCTCTATTTCTCTCTTTCTGTAACCTTACATTTCAAATACAAACAATCTTTTTAAAAATTGCTTATGAATAAAGCTCTACAAATAATAACTTCCTTAAACTCTACTCCTTCACAAAAATAAAGCCATGATCTAAGCCTCCCCTGAAATTAACTAGAACCTAACAAGACCAGGCAGAGCTACCTCCAGTCCATGTCACTAAAGCCAGGTCCATACAATATCAGCCACAGATTTCTTCTCAGCCAAGCCCTTGCTTGGAAGGTGGCCTGACCCCCAATACGTGCCCATGACCCCACCTCACAAACATCCTGCCTGGACCATGAGGATTCATTAGACATATAGCCTGGACCTCAAGTTCCAAGGCTTCTAGAACCCCTTTCTCTACATTCTAGGAGAACCAAGTCCCACTTCAGGGACACTAAAGAACACTGGATTCCTATCTTACTTTCTCTGCTCCTTCAACTCAGTTCTAACTTTCCCCACCAATGCCTAGGTCTGTACCTGCTGGGCTCTGTGGCTTTCTCAGATCAACAAAGAGCTGGCTTCTTCTGGACCGTAGGAAGCCTGGAAGCAAACTGTTCAGAAGATAGATTTGAGATCTTTGGCTCGGTGAGGACAGAGACATTGAGAACTAAGTAGGAGGAGAGCTCCAGCAGAGTGAGCTGGCTGGGAGTCACTCTCCTTGTCCAGGGAACTCTGTACCTAAAGCAGACAGCAGCTGCCTCACAGTTTTCCCAGACAAAATTCAGGATCTGTGTCTCTGAATGGAGAGGATGAAGAGGCAGCTACTGACAATCACCTCTAGGGAGGCAGGTTCTGACACCAAAGCAGAGCAATTAGCCCCAACAGGTGGCACTGAGGACAGACTTGGAAGCTGAAGTCTCTAGCCCTGAAGGTGAAATCTCAGCTGAAATTGATCCAGCTGTTTAAAACACCAGCCCACCCATAGCACTTTCACAGACGTCACCTAAATTAACACAAGAAATGGGGGTGGGTGTCAAAAACAAATACCCTGAAAACCGTTAGAATCCAAACAGGCACCAATTGAGACCTATGGTATCTAGAAGCCTCCATCACTCTGCCACCAGCAAGTGCCTCCGCCCCAACAGGACAAGCAAAGGCAAACAGTGGCAGTCTTTGGCGAGGCTGGGCCAGGAATCACAGGCCTGCCATATGTCCAAACCTCTGTCCCTTCTTCTATCCCATTCTGAGCCCAAGAAGAGCTCCAATGTATGTATTGTTCCTGAGCCTTAGACACTGAAAGGTAAGAAAGCTCTGCTTTCCTCAGCAGAAAAAATTCCCAAGGAAGCATAGGTCCTCCTGGGTCTGAAAAGGTGTGTTCTTGTCCACTGGATCTTCTACATCTGATTATTATGGTGGTAGGGAACGCCTCCCTCTGTCCTGTTTATTATTGAATTCTTCTTGGTAGTAGATGAACTAGGGTTCTCAAATAATTGCTGTTAGTTGCACATGGCAAAGACCACTACACAGCTCAACAAGACTCATGTCATATCCACATTCTGAAGAGAATAAGCTGGAAGATGGGAAGAAATAGTCAACAGGACAGAGTGCTGGCTACCAGAGTGCTCAGGCTCCTTCCTCACACCTGGGAGATGCTGTTGGCCAGGCGGAAAGACATTTTCTTTGCTTTCTCATTCTCCTGAAAGAAAAAAAAAGTATCATTGGAATTAGCACAGCTAAATGTACAATCTGGTGACAGGAAAAGGCTAAATGTCAAGATGAACATTCTCCAGGGTCAACATGGTTTTATTCTACACCAGCAAAAGCAACAACAAAACTCACCAAAGTCATTGTGTTATATGCTAATAGTATCTTAAAGAATTGGGATGGGCTGATCCAACCTTGGCACATAGGAGGCAGTCTATGTATCATAGAATTTAATAGCACTAAACTGATGTTTCTGACCAAATAGCTAAGGACCAGGCAAGCAGGGACAAAAGCATTGGGGTCATGATCTGCTGCTTTCCCCAAAAACATTAGCAGGAATATGGGCTGGAAATGGAGCAACTAGGATTCAAACAGGTACTCCAACATGGTACACTGGCATTGTAAGCCCTGGCTTACCTTTCTGTGCCACAGCACCAGCCTCAGTAACACATTTCAAAAAATCCTCCTTTTCTCCCTTAAACCTAAGTAGACAACAGACACTAGCACCAAGTGCTTCTCTTACGGGCATGAACATCCCAGCGCAATAACACCAGCACCCACCTACAGTCAGGGCACCTCTTCGTTCTGCTGATTTGCAGGGTACTATAGGCCTCTCGGGGTGGTAACTGTGCCCCTCAATAGTAACTAGAGTTAAGGGGCCCTGAGCTGTCCTGACTTGCCTCATACTCTAGGGCTTAGGAATGAGGGTTCATCAGCACTGCTCTCTCTCATGCTACCTGAGGGGCTTCACTTCTGGGTCACATGTGCTGCTCAGGTGTCCTCCCACCTGCCCAGTCCCCTGTCTGCCCACCTTTACCATGTGTCGTCGCCGCCTCTTGGGCTGGGTGCCCTCCTGCATGCAAGGGGGCCATGCAAAGCCCTGGGGAGTGGAACATCCACTCTCACTCGACACCTCCTCCGAGTCAGAATCCTCCTGGCGTGGCTGAGCGAACCGTTTCTCTGGGTAGATTTCCTTCAGCCAGCCCTCAAAGAACACCTCCAGGCAGCGGCCGGCCTCTGCCACCTCTGAATCGGGCTGATGGGACAGGAGAACAGAAGGTCTGGCCTGGTCCCACCAGCCCCTCTCCTCCAGCTCCCTCACATGCTATTCTGACAGCAAAAGACCTGGCTGGCCCATCCTGCCCTTTCATCCTGGGATGTCTGCAGCCAGGTATTTTATCCCAGGGCTCAGAGTAATCAGTTTGGCAGCAGCTCCTAGGGTGACCTCAGAAGGCAGCTCAAGATGGCCAGTCACCAGCACCTCCATATTGCTGCTCTTAGTCCAAGCCAAATTTCAGGCATGGGAGCAAACTTTTAAATACATGTCACAGTACGCCCAGCAGTCTGCTCCCAGGTCCTCATGGTGGCCCAGCATCAAAACTGACCCACCCACCGCTACCCAGCCACACTAGCCTTAGGGTCACTGGAGATGAGCAGGAGAGAAATGGACAAGACATACATAATTGAACTTGGCACAGTTCCAGAACATGAGACGCACGTCGGACACCACTTCCTCTGGGGTGGTATAGTGAGCGGGGTCCTTCTTTTGCAGCTTCCTCCGGATGATGGATAGGTCCATGGGCCTCTTGATAATTTGGTAGTAATGCCGGGCCTTGTGGAAGGCAGAGAGGGAGGCAAAAGTTTCCCTCAGAATTGGAGGGAGGAGAGATGGACAGTGAGTCAGAATGTAAGTGAAAGAAAAACAGGAGAAAGATGAGGAGCAGCAGGAAGAAAAGCACAGAGAAAGAAGGCAAAGAGAAACAGAGAAGCAGGACTGTATCCCAGGTCAGTTGTTACATCTGGTGTAGCCACAGCTGTGGAGGGGAGGCTGGCTGGAGTGGTCATGGCGCCCAGGGTTCCCTGGATGGCCCACAGTTAACGCCGTCATGACAGCCAGTGGCCATGTTCTGAGCCCAGGGAGGCAGAGGGAGGCCTTCCTTACCAGAGGGCTGACGGGTTCATGGAAGGGCAGGCTGAGGCTGTTGCAGCACAGGGATAGGATCAGCTTCTCGCACTTCTGTGGAAATCAGAATTGGCAGAAAGTATAGGTCAGTCTCCCAGGCTAGAGGGAAACTACTGAGAGAAGGAAAAATCACACAAACCCCCACGGGCCAAATTGTCAGATATGGCCCCCGAGAAAGGTCCTCAGAGACCTCTCCTCCCCGCTGAAAGCCCCCTGCCCCTATGGGCACAGCCGCAGCCACCCTGGGAAGGGAACTTTGCTCCCCTCACACACCTCCCTACCTTCTGGTCATATATGCTCAGGCCAGGAGGTGCCCGCATTCCAGGCTGGCTGTAGCGGGCATTCTCACAGTCATACTCCATCTCTGGCTGGCTCAGGCTGCGGCACAAGGTACAAACCCACTCTCCCCTGTGCGGGCAGGGGAAGCTGTGTTAGGCCTCAATACGGTACCCAAGAGCACCCTTCCCTGTCCCTCAGCCCTGAGACAAAGGCATGGCGATAGCACAGGAAACAGGGTCCCCAGCTAACATTAGAAACTCGGGATTTAGTGAACCCAGAATGATAGGAGTTAGGAAGGGGCTGGGGCAGGAATATTAGGACAAATGTATATGAGGGAAGAAGCTGAGAACAGAGGAAGCAAAGTCAGACAAGTATCTACGCCTGTGTGCAGAAGACACAGTGTAGTAGGGCCCTTTAACTGACACGTTACAATTCATGTATACCCACAAGAGGGGAGTGAGCCCATTCTGGGAGCTCTGTGGGTCCGGCCAGGAGTCGTCACCTCTGGAAAATAACCCTGCCAGCAGCTGGTGACCCAAACTGGGCAATACTCACCCTGGGAAGCTGAGCAAAGCTGGCACATGGCAGGAGAGGTGATATACTTTGGGGCAGCGGTCACAGCACAGCAACTCCCCCCCATTGAGGCACACAGCACAGAAGTCTTCATTTTCGATTGGGACTGGGGGTCCCTTCTTGGCTCCAGAGGCTCGAGGGATGAGTCTATGTTCTTCAGGAGATGTGCCCTCCACCTCTGGTGGCCGCTGCCCAGTCAAAGAAGTGACAGTGACCTTTCTGCCCCCCAGGCCTACAGTTTGGATGGCATTAGGCAGGCTGTCCTGGCTGACCTGGGGGCAGAAGGGCATCTGAGAGGCAGAACACAGCAGAGAAAGAAGGCACTGAAAGAGGCAAGGTGGGAGTTGAAAGGCCCTGAGCACCTACTCTGAGAGCTCCTAATTGCATGGACAGCTTCCTCCTAATGTGCACCTCACAGGCCCCTGGCAGTAAGGGATAAAGTCTGGCCATGCTACAGCCCCCCTCAAGAGGTCCAGGCTCGCCCCACAGCAGAATCCCAGAAAAGAGAGAGGCTACTGGACTGGGGAAGTGGCACCTTAATGGACATGCTGGAGGACTCGGTGCCACATTCAATAACCAGCAGGAAGCTCCCATCCTGATCACTCTTCTGTGGCTTCAGCTTGAACACAGGCATCTCTCCTGAGGAGGCAGCACAGATCTTGAGTCGCTCCAGCCTCACATAAGGAATCTTGGGCTCACTGTGGAAGGCTCTGTGGCAAGAGACACACCCCTGAATCTCCATGGGGGCCTCCTTTGGCCCCACCCTCTGTAAGTCAGGCTCACCCCTGGCCCCCATTCAAGATCTCCTCAATCCAGCCCTCTGCAGGCCCACATTCTGCCCTGCTGCCAGGCCCTGCCTGGCCGGGCCCAATCAGCCACTTGAGGCCCTTTGAGGCAGCCTCCGGGCAAAGAACAGAGCTCCCTAAAGAAACAGGCCTGCACCCAGGGCTCATACCTCACAGAGCAGGAGCCAGGACATCCTCCCACCCCTCCCTGGGCATTCCACTGAAGAGCCTCAGGATTTTGGAAGACAGCTTGAGGCTGACATCTGTTTCTCATTAAGTCATCCAGCATGCTTACTTCCCATGCCTCAGAGGACCTAAAGTTGGGGGCAGCAGAGCGAGGCTGGCTCAGGGTCTCTGTGTTACCTGATGCTCTGGTTCTTTTTTGTATCCAGTTCTAGGGCTCCTTGTTCAAAATTCTCAAATTCTAAGGCAAATAAACAAATAAATATTCATAACATGCATTTGTGATGACACGCCCTGTCACACACACCTTCCACTAGCATGTGCTGTCTATACTTCAGGCCACAAATTCTTACCTACATTGTAGTCGTTCGTCATGGTAATATTCCTAGCATGGATCTCCTTCCTGAGAGAGGGGAAATGCCTCCTGCTTTTAAAAAGGTGAGCACGGATAACACTCAGGCTGCCTACAGGCAAGTGCAGCATCAGGCGCTGTGGGGCCAGCTTCTCACCCTCACCATCAGCACACAGATCATCACTCCCAGCACACTGGCGCCACCTGCTTGAGAATCCTCCAGTCCAGGCTTTGCCTGTTTAGCCAAGTGCTCAGGTAACAGCACTGCCTGAGCCTATTCACAGGCCCCTCGCAGCAAGGACAAGGGCTAGCTAAGCTACCGTCCCACTTGGAGGCTCAGGAAAGGCCTCACAGCCAGCATCTTGGCAGCAATCAAGAGAAAGCAGAGTCTTTTAACATTGAAATGCCGTGGATGAGAGTTAATTATACAGGACTGCGTATAGGAAGGATCAATCATTTTTTTGTCTTCTAGTGTGAAAAAAATAGGAAAAAATCTATTTCTTTAGTTTATAATTATTAGATGTATAGTAAATAAACTGGTCATTACAAATTAAAGACACATCACACAATGAATTGAACAAGTCTCAAATGGATACTAGGTAGCTGCCTTCCAAGCTCCCAATCAGACCAGAGAGAGAAACCTTAGTATACTCCTACTTGAGAAGGGGCAAAAATAATACAGAAAAAAAGAAAGAAAGAAAAGAGCCAGTCTCCAGTGGTCTAAACTCCCTTTGCAATGAGGAGCAACACAACTTGTTAAGTAGAAGGAAAATTCTTGCTATCACACAAGAGGTTATCAAAGGATTTCCCTGCAGTAATCTGTGCCCCTTAGCCTATGAAGTAGGTAAGATTAGCTCCACTCACAGAGAAAAACAGATCAGGGATTTTAGGTATCTTGCCCAGGATCAAATATAAACAAAGCTGTTTTTCAAGGTTAGATCTATCTGGCTCTAAGACACACACACTCTTCTCCATGAAATAATAACCCCTCCAATGGCAAGTCTGCCATGTTCTTCTCCCTGTAACATTCCCCCAGGGCTAGCTCTCTTAGAACAATCTGCATTTCCCCTGCCCCAACTTTAACCCACACCCCCCCCCCCCCAGGACTTCCTACTTAGGTAAGGTCACGAAGGAGCCACCCAGCAACAATGAGTGAACAGGTGTCAGAGCCTGACTTGTGAAGAAGAGACTGGAACTTAGCCTCCAGAGGAACAGTATTCTCTGAGGCCTGGAGCCTGTCTGCTGGCCCCTATCTCGCCTGCAAGTGATGAGTCTGACTGCTTAAGCCTATGGGCCACACGAAAGGCAGGCTGTTGGTGTCGGTCTCACCTTTTGGGTTCCGGTACTGCTGCAAAGCCGTGGATGTGTTGGTCGCTGGGGTTGGGAGAGGTTTCTTCACAGACAGGTTAATTGGCTCTTCCAGTTCTGAGGAAATAGCCAAGTCCTTAAGAGCCAGTCCAGAAGGCAGAGGGCCTTGTCCCGCTAAGTCAGTGAAGCTGGTAGAATCCTCACTCTCGATCTTTCAAAGGTAAAACAACAAGAAGAATCAAAGTCAGTCATTTTTGCCATAAGCAATCTTAGAGTGGTTAGGCTAAGGCCAGGATTCAGCCTTCAATGGCCAGCCTTTCACCCAGTGACAAGCAGGGGAAGTTGAATGGCATTCCCCAAGACTTACCTTACACAGGGCATTCACTAGGGAGCTGTCAGCCCCATCCCCCGGACACAGGCTCCCTGCTGGTCGACCAGAGCCAGGACTGGAGCTGGAGCTGGACCCAGTTTCTGGCTGCTTTTCAGGCATTGGAGGCACGCTCTGCAGAGGACGGCTGGCCAAACTGGACACAGCCTGCATGTGTCCAGACATCAGCCTGGAACCGGTCTGAGAGTGATCACTTCTGAGGCTTGCAGTGGCCTGGGGGGACTCACTCATTGGGTTAGGCATGGACTGGAAAGTGCCACGCACAAGGCTGGGCACAGTCTGTAGGTGACTGGTTGTCAGGCCCGGCATGGCATGGTTCTGAACACTCATCAGACTTGGCACAGAATGAGGGGTGCCACTCAGCAGGCTTGGTATTGCCTGGGGAGGTGCAGTGGTGAGGCTGCTCCCAGCCTTGATCTGTGATGGCTCCACAGTCCTTGCCAGCCTGGTAGATGACACCTCCATCTCCAGAGTGTTGGAGAAGCCCATGATGCTGACTGAGGTGGAATGCTGCAGGAGTACAAACAGCATGAAATCAGATGGCAGCTGGGAAAGGTGGGTGGCGGGGAGAAAGGAGACCCTGCCCACAAGAGTCCAGAAGTTTTGAAGCAGTTGGAAAGTCCTATTTCCATTCCTTACACCAAGGAGGCTGTTAGGCTCTGACACAGAACAGGAGGCACAGGCCAAAGATGTGGAAGGGCGGGGTGTGTGTGTAAATGGGCTGGGAGAGGCACTGTGATCTGACCTGAAGGATGTATGTGTATACACACCAGCCACACACACCCCGACTCCCAGTTGTGTACTAAGGGTCAAAATCAGACTACCCTCTAATTTCATGTTCATCTCTTAATATACTGTTAGTAGCTTCCCTTCCGTTTAAGGAGACCTATAGAATACTTTATGCTACAGAAAAATGCTAAGGGGTTAAAGACTCACATTCTTACCTGCTTCAAGACCTTTTGACTCAGGGAGTCCCAATCAGTCTTAGGGAATCTAGGTCAACTCCAGGGCATTTTGAAAGGCTTATTCATACCAATTCCAAGCACCTGAAGCATTTGATGCAGGCTCTAACTGAGGCATCTGAAAGTATGTTCTAGCCTAGTGTACAGGCACAAAGGCACTCCAAGTCTGAAGCAGTGAACTTCAGAGCTGTCGCATTTTAATATGATTCCAATCACTGGAGGAGATAATTCTCTCCTCACCTAACTACTTATCACATAAAAGACTGGTTGATAAAGGGTGATAGAGACAATAAAGATATAGATTTCTGCATTGAAATGACCGATTTTCAGAAAAAAGAAACAGACCTAAGAGCCAGCATTAAGCCATCTCATTTGAGCACCAATTCAAGTCCTGGTTGCTTCCACTTCCAATCCAGTTTCCTGCTAATGTGCCTAGGAAAGCAGAAGAAGGCCCAAGACCTGGGCCCTGTGTCCACATGAGAGAACTGGATAAAGCTCCTGGCTGCTGACTTCAGCCTGGGGCAAACTCAGTCACCGTGGCCATTTTAGGGAGTGAACCAATGGAGGGGAGACCTCTCTCTGTCTTTCTATAACTCTGCCTTTCAAACACATAAAATAAATCTTTAAGGAAAAAGAAACAGATTTGGTGGAGGGGAGTGGGTAATTGGTTCTAAACAGAATCTTCAGGAATGCTTAAACTTAATAACTCTGCCCTTCTTTTTAAAAGGCAGTAACAATTTGGTATCTCTGAAAATCAAATGGAAAAAATAGAGAGCAAGCACCTCTAAGCTTCTAACATCCCTACCAATTGGCCATTCTTTTCCCCATGTATGAGGTCTTCAAATTTCCATAGTAAAAGGCACACTTCAAACCAGTACATAGTGAAGGTGCATCACGGCAAAGAGAAACTGTCCTCAGCTCAGTGGACATCGCACTTTGTTACCAAGTCCAGTACGTTACTTCTTCCCAGGAGGAAGCCTTCAGGTGAGCACCCTTCTTCCCATACCTAAGCTCCAACCACTCTCCCCTTAAACATTTCTCTGATAGACCCACCAGATTCCTCTCTCTATTGAAGGTCTATCCTGTCTTTCTGTCTCCCCAGACAACAACAGAAGCCTCTCAGTGGAAAATTACTTTAAAAATGCAAATATAATGGCATTGCTCCTTTCCATAAAACCATGCAGAGCACTCCATTCATTTTAGGAGAACTGTAAAAATGCTTTACAAGGATTGCCAGGCTACCAGTGACCTGACCCCCAGCCCCAATTGTAGCCTCAACTCATACAACAACCCTTTTTCTCTGAATTCCAGTCACTCAGCTCCTGAACCACGCCAAGCCCTCCCGCCACCCAGAACCCCCAGTTCTTGAGACTATTTCCTGTGTGTGGAACATTCTCCCCCTCTACCCCCCACTCCACTTAGCCTCCAGGACTCAGCTCAACTGCAATTTTCTGCGACAAAGCCTTCTTTCATTCTCTGGCCACACTAGGGTCTTCCCCTTGATGCTTTCATAATGCCTTGTACTTGTTCTTTTAGTCTCACACAGCACAATTTCTGATATCCTTTGGTTAATTTGCTTCTTTCCATACTAAAATGTGAATTCCCCTAGGGCATGGATTTTGTCTATTTTGTCTATGCAAGAGCAGTGCCTGAATGAATGAATTAATGAGCTACTTAAAATTTCAAAATAACAATATGTGACTGCTTATTCCACAAATCTTAAACCAAATGAACAACAGTTTAGTTCTACTAAAAGCTGAGTCCATGAGTCTCTCTGAAGTAGCGGTTATTTTTATATAACTAAAATATATGGAGAATACATTATAGGCAAAGCAATTTGCTAAATGTTTTACATATACTAATTTCATTTAATCCTCACAATAACCATAAAAGGGCTGTTGTGAAGGTTAAAAGGAATAATCCATGTAAACATTTAGAACACTGGCTGGAATCTTGCAAGTACTCAATCCCAGCTTCTACTGCTGCTGTCAAGGTCACTGATATTTTGTTGTGGCTCCTATTTTATACTTGAGGGGGAAAAGTGAAGCTGAGAAAGGCATATGGTTTGTTATTCTAATATAAAACAGGATCTTGCAAATTTACATTTGCCTTCACTTGTGCCTGTATGACTAACTGTATTAGTACAAAAATAGAACTGGGTTTTGCAGGTTGACCTTGTACTCAGTAAGCTTGATAAACTCACTCCAAAAATTTATTGTGGATTTTCTGTGCACGTAGCCATGTAATCTGTGACTTCTTGCTTTCCTTACTCTTGTTCTTCTTGTTTCACTTCTCTAAGACTTTTAAATGAGGCTGAACAGAAACAGTGATGGCAGCAGGGTCTCATTTCTGTTTTCAAAGGCCCCTTTCAATGTTCCACTACAAAGTATACTGAATATAGACTTTCTGTGAAGTTAGAATTTAGTTCTATGGTGCCAAGGTCACCTTCAGCTCTGCCCTGTGTGTCTCTGTCCTTGTTCCCTGGGTTTACCCTTCACCATCTCTCATTCTCTGTTCTACAATTTCTTGACCCTTCCCTCATCTTCCTCTTTACCTCACATCTTCTCATTCTCTCTTCCTATTTTTCCTTCCTTCTTACCTGTCTGCTCACCCTTTTCCTTATTAACTACTTTAGTCAAGCTTACACTTTCTATTCTTAATTCCCTATTTTAAAAGCAGATGACTTAAATACCTCTTATTTATTTCTCCAGAGAAAGGTTTGCTTTTAATATTTTCCTTAGCAGTTCAATAGTCTTCAATTAAAAAAAAAAGGCTTTAATTTTCTCTCTAGTCTATGCTCCAAAATAAGAAAGACTGAAGAAAAGGAGGGGTGATAAAAATGCTCAATCCAAGTTGGGTAAATGGAGCATGCAGTTCAGTTTGAGGGACTGAGTCTAGAAATAAATGGTCATGGCAAACATGTCCAGAAAGCATCCCCAGGCATTCCCCTTGCTCTCCTGGTTGTATGATGCCATAGCTTCTTAAAATTCTACAGTAAGTTCCATATCTATGTATGAGAATAACAATGACTGCATTCCCTTTCACAATATATAATAGTCTAATCCTATGAGCCAGATTCTTTCGTCTTTTCTCTGTTGAATGTGTACATTTAATGCAATTCTGATGCTCATTTCATGTACACATAGATGTCTCTTGGTACAATCCTTGCTCTAACACTTCAAGATTCATCTGAGCCTACCCAAATAACAACATTTGGCACTGTATATCACAGTTCGGGCACCAAATAAAATCTCAATGGGTGAAACTTCCCAGATAAGCAGGAATGATCACATTTGTGGGATAGAAACTTTCATAACTTGGTTAATTTTTGCATATCATGAGATAGGTATAAATATCACAAGAAAGGAGAAGGACATGCAAACTGTGTTGTTGAAACGCTGTACCTTTTGGTTTTTAATAAATTGATTGACTAATTTGTTTATGAGAGAGAGCACACTAACTCTAACCCACTGGTTCACTCCCCAATTTCCCACAACGGCACAGGGATGGACTGAGGCCAAAACTGGTGTCAGAAATTCAATCCAGGCAGGGACCCTGCTACTTGAGCTGTCACTGCTGCTTGTGTTAGCAAAGAGGCTGCGCTCAGGAGGCAGAGTCTGGCACTCTGACATGGGATGTGGGATTCCAAATTTAGCAGGTATTTGGGGGAATAACCTCTAGGCCAAACACTCACTCCTGCCATGGTTTAATCTAAGATAAGCAGCATGAAACGGCTCCCGTAACACTCAGAAGACAGGATAAAGTCAGAAACACAGTGTAAACCAGATCACACTGGACTGATCTCTTTCGTCTTCACATCTACAGTGAAGTCAATGCTATCAGGGGTGTGGCAGTGCAGGTGGAAGCAGCAGGAATCAGAAACCGCCACAGGAGATGGGATTCAAGAGTTTTCCTTCCTTGCTTACTTCCTTTTTCTTTCCCTTTTTCCTTTCCTCCCTTCCTCATTTTTTAAAATTTTTCTTCCTTCCTTTTTCTTTTTTCTTTCTTTTGCCTCACTCCAGCATTTCTGTGGGATATACATAAACATAACAGGATTTACTGATCAAATCTGTTGTCTGTAATTATCCTAGCTACCTCATTTGTGGCTCTGCAGTGAAGCGCTACAAAACATTAAACTACTGAAAACATAGCATTTCTTTAATGTACAGGAAAAAAAAAAACAGAGAACAGTCTCTATCATATTTGTTGTCAGGGCTACAAAATAAGTTAGGAGCAGGCTAACCTTAAGCGTAGCAGGTAAGATGCCCACATCCCACATTAGAATGCTTGATTCAATCCCTGGCTTTGGCTCCTAACTTCAGCTTCCCACCCATGCAGCTCTTCTGGGAAGCAAGGGTGATGGCTCAAGCAACTAGGTTCCTGACACCCTCGTGCGAATACCGGATTGCATTTCCAGCCTTGCTCTTATCAGGCCTGTTACTGTTGCAGGTATGTTGGGGAATAAACCGATGAATGAGAGTGCCTGCTGAAACTCTCTCTCTCCCTCTCTTTCTCTCATTTTGAGTCTCTCTCTAAAATACATTTTGT